ACAGAGCTACTGGAGGGAACGAGCCAGCAAAGGACTAAGAAACCGAGACCCTAGGGGTGGGCCTGGAACAAAATGCTTGGGAGAGGTAGGATCCTGATCCAACGGCAATAGCCAGAGTACCCAGCACCTCCCAGGGACAGGCTCCATCTTTGAAGCTTGGGTTCATTTCTAGAATAGTGTTTATACGTGGGCTTTGGAGGGAGGGGGGTTGGGTGCGATAAGCTTTGAGGGGTGTCTGCCCCGTTTTTGGTGAGGGGCAGGTGGCCATATCTTAAAAAGTCCACTGACATTGGGGCAGTCACTAACTAACTTGCAGAGCAGCTGACTCTGGGCAAAGACTGAATGGGCCACGGAGCCTGAGCTCCCCTCTGCCACAGGCAGCTCAAAACCAGCCCAGCCTCTGCCATATTCCATAGATGCCAGATACTCTGCAGCGTGGGGCACGGGTCACTTGCTGGAGGATTCTCTGCACCTTGAAGTCTTTAAAGTTTTTTAAACCATGATTTGAGGACTTCAATAGCTCAGACATAGGTTTGTTGCGGGAGTGGGTGGGTGAGATTCTGTGGACTGCGTTGTGCAGGAGGTCAGACTAAACAATCATAATGGTCCCTTCTGATCTTAAAGTCTATGAGTCTATGACTCTATATTCCCAGCTGCATTCATTGCCACCCTGCTAAAAAGTTTCCCTGCATAAATAACAAGACTCAGGGAGCCATACTACCAATGACCACAAGGGAGCAGCACAAGATCGAAGAGCCATCCTCCCTCACCAGCATTTCAGGTGGCTTCACTGTGACACAGTTTTCCATCCCTGCAGGATGGAACTCTGGAGATAACTAGGCTCCATGTTTGGGCCCAGCTGTCTCCCCATATTACTAACTTGAAGCTCCAGACCCCCATGCTGCAAGGGAACCTCTCCCCATCCCTCCCAGTTTTAGGATTTCAGGGTGGGGAGTGGTCCCAAGCAAAGGTGGGTGTAAAGTCCTCTCCTGAGGAGCTCCAAATTCCCCCTCCAGATTCTATGCTCCACCCAGAGGTATTCTCCACCCTGTCCCCATGGGCTGGGTTGGGATGGTGCCAGCAAAGCTGGTACCTTGGCCTAGGAGTACCTGCATGAGGTTACAGCACAGCACACTGGCCAGGCACATTATCCGGGGGGTTCTTCTTTTGCAGAAGCACCAGGTGTCGTCCAGTTCTGGAGACTGGGCTGGAGGGGACCGGCGGCCTGATCTGCCTTGCCAAATCCTAGCTCAGTGTGAATGGATGGGCGGCCAAGTAGGGGGCTGTCCGTAAACTATGTAATGCATCGGGGGGCAAGTGGGTCCCTAATTTGGCATGTTTGTTTCAGTGTTACAAAATGTTACAAGGATAACATTTGGGTCTCGATAATCACCCGAAAAGGGGTCATGTAATGGATGGACCGGTCCTATGGAGGCAGAAAGCAAAAGAGAAAGTCTTTCCCAACTGAAGGGAGAAGGCAGGTAACAAACCCGTGAGATAAAAGGCCTGAGGCCCACAATCTGCAGTGGAGTTGCTGGGGAGAATCAGCTCCAGGATATAATACAATACAATGGATTAGAGTCATGAATTGTATCAACCACCAGATGGTGATGTTGCTCTCTGCCAAAAGAAGCCAGGCCACAGAAACCAGGACCAGCAAAAGTTAGCTTCCTTGATAACTACGCAGAGGCAAAAGTCTCCTTTTAACCCCCAGGAGCGGGCTGTACCCCTAAACACGCTGAAGGCCCACGCGGCAGCAACAGCAGCTCTGAGAGCATCAGGAGTCTGGGACGGTCAAGGGGAGGTGTTTCTGGGCTGCTCTCCAAAGCACCTAAATTGGGTATGCCAGGCACATCCCAGGCAAGAATGTCAGTACTGGTTCTGCAGCAGTCATCCTGTCTGGCTGCTGGTACTATGCAAGGGCAGCTCATATATCCACTAAGGAATCTCCTGCTTGGTTTGACCTGAGCCCGGCAGCCAAGACAGACTATTATGAGTACATAAAGGACTCACAGAGTCCTCACCCTTCATAGCTCAGGGCATGTCTACACAGCATTCTGGGGTCAAGCCTCCAGGCTGGGTTGACAGACTCAGAGGTTGGCATAGTCAGATCTTGAATTGGCAGCCTCAGGCTAGCGGGACTGACACGAGCACTCTAAAATAGCTGTGTAGACAGAGCTTTGACGTTGTGCTGGGGCTGGAGCTCATGCTCCGAAGAGCACCCGCCTCCCTAGGCTTCAGAGCACAGGGTGCAACTTCAAAGCGATTTCTGTATAGCGATTTCTGTCAACCCAGCCTGGGAGACTCACTCCAAAATGCCGTTTAGATGTACCCTTGGGGACTGGAAAGAGACAAAGTGAAAAGCAGTTCCTTCTTACCCCTCATCTCTGATCCCTGTAGGTCTCTAGTTCACACTTGCTGACCTCTCTGGCTCAGTCTTTGAACTATGGGCCTCTGTCCTAGCTCCTTGGAGAGCGGCCTTCTAAGTTCATCTAAGCAACTCAGGCTGGTCCCATCTGCAGCTGTGTTCCACTTTGGTCCAACGGTCACAAGAGGGCACGCAAGAACTAATTTCCAGCGAGCCAGACAGGATTCAGAGTCAAGCTGTGCACAGTTGTTCTTACCCAAGTGCACTTGATCTGGAATTGTGGAAGCGGCCACAGTTGCCAGAAGCTTTACTGGGGTGCAGGGCCTGTTCCTTCATGTCTGGGGTGAGCTCCCTTCTCCCCATGGCTGCCGAAGGGAGAGGGGGTGGTTTCAACCTATAACTAGAAATGAGGTCAAGCTGCAAGGTTTGGGTCCAGATTCCTAGCCCCATTCAAGCCCCCAAGCGAGGTAACATGTGACCATTCTAACCACTTTTTGGCAGGTTGATCAAAGCTGAAACTCAAAACAACCCCCATAGGTCAGGCAAATCATGTGCTGGGAACCAGTCGGTTTGCATAGCTCCCAGTCAAAGCTGTCTGGGGGCTGGGATAGCCTTGCTACCTACACACATACAAGTGGGAGCTAGGGTGCTGTACAAGCTTGCAGTGTAGGAGTGGGGAAACTTGCATAAAGGGCTATGAAGCAGAGACCAGAGAGGTGCGACCCCACCTAGGGTGACCAGATATCCCAATTTTATAGGGACAGTCCCGATTTTTGGGTCTTTTTCTTTTGGCTCCTATTATCCCCCACCCCGTCTCAATTTTTCACATTTGCTGTCTGGTCAACCTAACCCCACCTGATAACTGCAGTGGGCGTTCTGCACTTATAAATATAACAGCACCCCGGCTAGGCATTCATCCTAGGACACCTGTTTCTAAAACCACATGCCTCTAGTGCCTGAGCTAAAGTGTCAGGTTTGGAGAGTAACTGCTCCAACCTATGTATGAGTCAGTCACTAACAGGACAAAAACACACTTGACCAATGTGTTACATGAGCATCGGGCCCAAGGTATTGTAAGTTGAGTGCCCAAAAATGGAGGACCCTGAAATCAGTGGAGGGTTTTGAAAACCCTCTGTGCCTCAGTTTCCCCGTTATTTAAAATGGAGATTATCATACTTACCTGCCTCTAAGGTCTATGGCTGAAAAGCACTATAGCAGGGCTAATTAGCGGTGGCTATATTATGACCCACAAACACATCACAGTTCAGACCAGATTTAGCTGTATCAAACTGGCCCCATAATGTTTCCGGGGGTTGTTGTCCATCTGCTCCTAACATAGCTCCATTCTTCTTCCACTTCCTGACACACTAGCTGGCTGGCTGGGCAGCTCTGTGTATTTAGAACTTGGATCTTGTAAACATGTGTTGTTGAGGGCTCTGATAGCCCTGCAAGAGCGATTTGCTGTGTTTGGATGGTAGCCAGGTCGTCTGGGACTCCATAACACACCTGGCACAGTGTCTTGGCAGGGCTGAGGGCCCAGGCAAGCAGTGGGCTGGCAGGGTGCCCATCAGGCTCCCAGGGAAACATTGAGAAATGCTTCGCTCCCCCTTTGTCAATGAAAGAGATGTTTATGAGAGGTGGGGGAGGAGAGGAGGGCTAGGAATTGTGGCAAACCCTCCTTAAAAAGGAATTTGGAAATGGACTATTGTATCCCACTTCAAAGGCTTATATTATAGACTCTAGGTTGCTCAAGGCATGGTAGGACAACACATAGGAACTGCCCAGAAAAGGCACCAAGAGTATGAACAATAGAGGTTGCTCCAGGAAGCAAACCCAGGGATTTCTGGGTAACAGAAAATGTTGTGCTGGGTCTGGGCAGGGGCTCCAGAGGCTCCCGGGTAACAGAGACTGTGTAGTTGAACAGGACTCTGGTGATGTTCTGAAAAGTCCTTGCCTGATTGTGTAACTTCACCGCACGTGTTGTGGGCCCTGCTGGTGTGTGGCTTCCATTGTGTCCTGCTGCTAATTAAGCCTTTAATAGTGGGCATGGCCATTGTTCGATAAGG